GACCCCTTTTTAATAAAACTCGATTAAAAATCATTTTTAGTAAATTAGCAAGTTAATCTAAACGTTTTGCTTCACTGACAACAAGAGAACCGTAGTACACCTGGCGTGCACCCTGCATGGTCTGTCGACACACAGGAAAGCAACACGACACATTTAATCCCTTTCATCGGCATATCATTATGCCATCTGCCCAACATTTCTACTCAACATCACTCAAGACCTTGGGAGTACGCAACTGATTATTTATTCCATAACAGACGTTCCTTTTAGCATGATGGGCTGTGGTGTAAGCTACAGCTATACTATCTGTTACAGTGTCGAAACCGGTTATCCGCCACAGGTACAGACTCAGACGCGCACGCCGAAGGTACATCATGCATAAGTAGCGCAAAGAAGGGGTTCAGGTATTTCGAAGAAGAAAGGGAATTGGGGAGGGTGATGGGTATGGGGGGGGGAGGGAGTAAGGAATGGTGAATTATCAGTTTATCAAATTGCATAAAATTCAGTCAACTTGGAAGTGGTCGTTTGTGCGGGTGATGGTCTTAGACAGGTATTCGTTAGCGCATGTTCGACTATTTCCAGGTATGCAAAATAAGCCCGCCAATATCCAAGAATAGCCTCAGAAAGTGACTCTTAGTACTCTTAGCAACTTGTCCAACTGACTGACCGCTTTTGCTGATTCGTTGGAAATTGTCAGACAATCCAGATTGATCCTCGTATCATCTAAAGACTTTCGTATGATTAACAACGCAGACTGTTGCTACTCCGATATCCAAAGCCACTCCATAATGAAGAGAAAGAGAGATGGATTTCGCCAAGTTTTGAAAAAGACGAAATCCAATTAAGGAGTAACTTTTTAAAAACAAAACATGAGGAAATGTTAACTTCTGTCATATTTGTCCATTTGGCAACTTGCCTAATCGTTTCCAAGAATCCGATACATTTATGCTTCAAAAAGTGTCTTCCCCTTGATCGCCATTGGTATTTCACTGAAAAGAGCAAGGTACAAACACAGAAACAACAGAAGGGAATAAGAGAGGTTGTGCTAGCCAGTGGCAGGGGCGCCCTTCAATGACCCTTACTAACTGTGCTACATTCTTGTGTGGGGGCGAAAAGGTTGGCAAGGGGCGAATTTCGCAATTTAACGAACTTAACAAGTGATTTTTTAACGCCTGTCATATCTTCCCTTCGGTTGAGAGCTTCCTGGTAAAGACGACAGTAACAAGAAACGAAACAAAGACAGGATAATGATATGTATAACTTATGTGCGTCCGTCCGTTGTTGTGCATATCGTAACGAAGACGCATGGCGCTTTTGTCACACATTCA